GATTGTGCTTTTAATCTGTGTTGTCTTTGTATAGTCTGCAGATGCAGATCCTGACTCCTGTGAGAAGTAGCTCACCATGACAAAGCTGCCTTTGCTTTTATCACTTTGAAAATCAAAGAAGAGGGAGGAGTTCATTGGCTTTGGTCAAAGACTAGGATCACCTACAAAAGGCGGACCCCTTGCCGCTGGATTAACATGGTTCCATTGTGACATGTTTTCAGAATCCTGCACATTGCCATTATGGAGGGTTGCTGTGTCTATCACTGCGAGAATTTGGTTACCATCTTTCTCCCCAACCATACTAGAACCCTATGAGCCCCAGGGTTCAAACTCCAGGGTGGCTGAGAACCCTAGCCGTACGGGGTGGAAGCACTGACTCTTGGAGGAATCGGAATTCAGCCCAGGCCTCTGAGGGACTCTCCATCCTGCCTGTGCACCAGAAAAAAAAAAAAACCCTGATTGTTTTAAATCAGTTGCTTAGTTCCCTTTGACCCACTGACTTAGAATCTCCTGGGCCCATGGTCCTGGTGCCTGTTTTGTTATAAAGTTCCCAGCCTTATGCAGCCAGGCTAGGGGCCTGCGTGCAAAACAGTCACCCCATCCAGCCACTCACTGGGCCCTAGGAGAAAATGAGATGTCAAGCAGCTGCTAACGTTGATTTGGCAGCTAACACTGTGGCTGTGCTCTGTAAGTGTCTTAGGTTGCTTGTGCGTGATTTCAATGCCAGTCCCTTCAAGACGGAACCCCTGATCTTTCCCCATTAACCTGGTCCTTGTCTCATGGTCCTTGACTCTGCAAATGGCACCAGCCTATGCAGTGTGGAAGACAGACACCTAAGAATGCTCTGTAATGTTCTCTTCCTTTTCTCTCATATTCAACCCATCTCTAAGCTACTACCTGTCAATTTTACCTCCTAAGTGTCTCTCCAACATATCCACCTGGTGTCCATCATCACCACAGCTACTGGCCTCTTCCAGGCTACAATCTACAATCCTCTTGCTTGGACTCCTGCAGGAGCCTTTGAATTCTCTCTACATTCATTCTGACCCCTCCAATCCATTCTCCACACTGCGGTAGGCAGCATCTCCACTGGCACCCAGACATTCCCACCCCCTGGCATTCACTCCCTGGTACAATCTCCTCCTGAGTGTGGGCCGCATCAGGTGACTTGTTTCTATGAATAGAATATTGTAAAAGTGACAGAATGCCACATTTCAGATTAGGTTACAAAAAGAATGTTTTCTCTCTCTCCTGCCTTCCCATTCTGGGGGAATCAAATTGCCATGTTGTGAGAAGCCTTAGGGAGCGGCTCATGAGACAATGAAGAAATGCCTCCAGCTGGCAGTGAGCAAAGGCCTGAGGTCTGCCAACAGCCACTTGGTAACCTTGGATATGAATCCTCTCCCCAGGCAATCCTTGAGATAGCTGCAGCTCCCACTGACACTGGATTGTAACCTTGTGGGAGACCGAGAGTCAGAGGACCCAGCTAAGCCATGACCAAGTTCCTAGCCCAAAGAACCGTGAGATGATAATATAGGTTGTTCTATGCCACTACCCTTTGGGGTAATTTGTTACACAGCAGTAGAGAACTGATACACCTATTATACAACCCTCTTCTTTACTTCAAGACCACCCAGCCTTTAAGAATAAAGACTAAAACCCTTGACACCTAAGGGCCTTTGTGACCTGGACTTTGCTGACCTCTGCACCTCACCTGGCACAAGGCTCCCCTACTTTCAGGGTTCCAGACATCTCATCTTCTGGCAGGTCCTTGAAGAAGTTTAGCTTCCTCTGGACAGAGGGCCTTTGCACAGGTCCCTCTGCTTCAGATCCCTTCGACCCAATTTCAGGAAACGCCATGAGGGGTGTGTCCCAGGCCCCATTCCAAATAGGGTCATTTCCAGCTCAGACCATTCCCTCACCCCTGTACAGTGTCTGTCCCCTGCCACAGTCAGTAGTGCCGCATCAGATTTATGCTGTGCAAAAACTGTGAGTCTTCTGCCTGGGGAACTTCCACAAAAGGTCCCAACAGGAGTCTGTGGACCCTTGCCAGCAGGGACGATTGGATTACTTTTAAGAAGGTTAATTTAACTTTAAAAGAGGTACAAATACATACGGGAGTCATTGATTCAGATTATAATGGGGAAGACCCTGTCTCAAAAATAAATAAATAAATAATAAAAACCCCAAGCTAGGAAGAACCTGGAGACTGAATACTCCTCAAGTGAAACACAATCTCTACAGAACATTCTTCTTCTTCTTCTTCTTTTTTTTTTTTTTTTTTTGGAGACAAGGTATTGCAATGTTGCCCATGCGGGAGTGCAGTGGCTATTCACAGGTGCGACCACAGGACACTATGGCTTTAAACTCCTGGGCTCAGGTGATCCTCCTGCCTCAGCCTCCCAAGTATTTGGAACAACAGGCATGCACCACCATGCCTGACTCAGAACCTTATTCTTAAAGGTATTATCCAGGAATATGGGACAAAGACATGTGGGGGAAGGGACTTCTGTGCTATAATGAGGGTGGCTAACACTCAGTGAATCCTGTGTATCCGCTGGGGTTCTGAGCAATTTGTATGCATTATCTCATTAAACTCCTCCAGATATATATGTGTGTGTGTGTGTGTATGTGTGTATGTGTATATATGTGTGTATGTGTGTATATATATGTGTATGTGTATATATACATATATGCCAGGAAACAGACAAGAACATTCCTAAAACACACAGCATTTTTTTTAGCTCAGTGTTAACAATGAAAAATAATTCCACTATTGAGGCACAAGTTGCAAATCAGTAACATATTCCTATTGCTGTAGAAAAGGGGGTTAAGTCAGGTGTGTCATATGAGCACTAGAACTTTTCATGGTGTCACAAGCCAGTTGTCTGTCACAAAGAGTTTCAGCTTCAGGATTTGCATTTCCTCAGAGGAAGACGCTGTGGACGTTTGTGGTCATGAACTTTTGAGTGGCAATAGCCCAAACAGGTCCAGTGCCTGTAAGCTCTGAACAGGCAGCATCACTGTGAATTACCATTAAACT